CAAAAGAGAATACGTTGGTGTTTGCAATGTTCTAAAAAAGAGAGTTACTATGACTATCCTTCACTACTCCAATTCCACTTCTCCCAGAAACTGTTACTAAGAGTCTCTCTAGTAGTGGCTTAGCTGAATGAAAATTTGGTTTTTCACCAGAACACATGCTGCTGATCCCACTGACATGCAATTTAACTTATCTGGATTTCTGCATGGCTCATTGCAATTCTGGGCCCACGTAAGGGAATGAAAACTGTGCATCAGGAATGAATTTTCATTGTAAAGTAATTTGTTCCCAAGGCAGAGGTTTATGGAACAATATCATCCAAAGGAAATTTCACAATAACCCAGTTGAAAGGCAACACTCAGTGACACTCAAGCATCAGTAGTCAGTATGTCCAAAAAAGCAGATGCCGCTGTCTGTTGCAATAGGAGAAAATGGGGAAACACGTTCTTTTTTGGGTTCTTCTGTGCTAGAAAATTAAAGGTATGTTTACAGTTATTCATAATTCCTAAAAATACTGGAACATCTTTACAACCAAAAGAAATCAATCACACATGATATTTCAGATTCTTGAAGGCCTTAGACTACGTGATATTAACTTAACTGAGGTCTAAATAAGACTTGGCATCGCTTTTGTACCAATGAATTTCCAAAACAGCTGATTGCTTTGTTAATGTATTGCAAAAGAGTATTTAACATTTGCAGCTAGTAACTCCAAATATCCCAGCCCTACCTCCAGAGAGGAATTGATGGGGAGAATGGGGTTCCGCTCCTGTAACCAAATGTCTGTATATAAGCTTTTCCTAAGGAAGTTATGGAGACACCATCATGAACAGCAATCCCAGTATTATATCTGTTAAAATAAACTGAGGCAATCCTATGTGCTTGCTACATTTTTTAAATATTATTTTTAAAATAGAGAAGTTCTTCCTTTCAGAATTCCAACAATCTTTTATATGTGTTCCTCCTCTCTCATTTCTACTACCTGACAAGATACTGAGCACTTCTATATTCACCTTGGGTTACTGTTCTCTGTCTACAAATCAGCTGAATACAGCATAACATAATTTCTAAAATTAGAATAATGCCCTTAAATGATGTACAAATATCCCATATTTTCAAGTATCTCTTGATGCGTTGGACAGTTAGTTGATTAAGCCATCTGCAAAGCCTATGTCTTCAGGCCTTCAAATACATTTTTTAATTCTCACAGGGTTCAGTTGTTCTGACACAAAACGACAAAGCTTTCTACTCTTCCCACACTTGTCCTGCTGTCTCCAGACTCTTCATGCTGTGAGAAGTACCTGTAACGTAGTAATGTGCAGTCTGTATTCTCTCCGTTTCTCTGCCCTAGTAGAGCAAATGAGACTATGTCTTTTTTTGGAGGTGGGGAGGGAGTCTGACATGGACTATTACATTTTAAAAATTATTAATATGGAAACAAACATGATTGCATGAAATCTTAGTGCTATTATGTATACTCTACTGCAGATTTTCCAATGACTGTAATAGTTTGAGTAAAAATGAGATAACAATTACAATTACTAGTAATTTTTTCTCATTTTTGAGGCTTTTAGTTTCCTGTGCAGAGTAAGGTCTAGGTGTTTACACAGCTAGAATTCCTGCCCTTCCAGAACTCATCCTCATTTGATTTGTTTTGCATAGGCTGGAAGTTACATTAACAATGTCATGTTGCTCTCTTCAAAATTCTGGGAAGAAACAAATCTGTCTGGGATGAAAACCAAGGGCTAAATGGCTTCATTGAGTAAAAAATTGTAAGTTGTAAAATTAAACATAATTTTCTTCAAGCCTCAATATATTGTTATTGTTTTCTTATAGCACATCAGTTAGGCTTTTATGTCATAAAGTTGCAGTCTGTGTTGAATTTCTGCTCTGAAAGTTGCTTAAATACATTTCTGTAGATGTGACTGGACAGTGTGGACAGAAATAGCCCACATTTATTTTCATCTATCCGTGTGGACATGGTCTGCATATAGAGGAGGAAATATATGTCCCTTGCATTTGCTTTAGTCATTGTGATGTGAAGGTCCTCTTTACTGCCACTGAGGCTCTGGGAGCTGTTTTGTGCAATGTCTTTGTACAAGTAGCAACTGGCTCAGGCTTCTACTACCAACCTTTTGTTGGCACCTTCACAACTCAGCAAGTAATTCTGGATGGCAGCTGATGCCAGCATTTTCTGTTGTTATAGTCTCTGCCTGAGGTGGGTGACATTTATTGTTATACCTGTGTGAGAACCCATACTAAACCCCCTGTCTCTCTCCTGGGTGTATACCAATATCAGCTTCTCCCTAGGCAGTGAATGAAGACAGACGTTTGCTCATAGTTCTTTATACAACTGTTTGAGGTAATGCTTGAGCTCCTTAGCTAATGTAAACTGCTCTCTGCGCATGCTAACCTTGTTCCTTTTACTGTCAGACCTGTACTCCTAACATAAACACCTTTGAAGTTTCTACTTCTAAATTTTGGTTGTTCTGAAAGATCTTTGTAGAACTTTTCTTTCTTACCTTTTTTTTAATTATTATTTTACAAAAACAGTCTTTATGGTGTTTAGGGTTTTTTGGGGGGGTGTTGTTTGGGGTTTTTTTGTATGTGTGTGTTTAGGTTTTTTTTTTACTGCAGCTGTTCTTTGCATGCTCTTTATCAATATTTTTAGAAAAGTTGCTTTTTGATTATATGGAAATCAACCTTCCTTATTTGCACACCTGATTTTGCATCAGTGCAGCACAATACACTGTTTTGACATCACCGTCACTCGTCTGATACTGGCAATATCAAACCTAGAAAATTGTGGTCACAGTCAGTCCAAGCCAACTGTGGAGGACATCGGTGCCATGAGCACCTTGTACTCTGTGACTACAGATAGGTATCCTAAGAGACCTCCAACGGATTGCTGGAACTCTAAAAAGGCATAGCTAACACAGGATTATCATATGAAATCTATGACTTGACCTAGGCACTGAGCTGCTTGAAGCCAATATTGGTATCTACTTCCAGGGCAGCGTCCCTTTTTCACATAGGTCCTAAAATTGACATAACTGAAGCCACAATTACATTGATGGTGTGAGAAATGATAAATTGACATTCCTGATTTTCAATTTTCCAGTTTCTGTAATATTTGGTGACCCATTTTGTCCCTGAATATCCTCATATCTTCATAGGCCTCCCATATCTTTTCTATTCTGTGTAATTTACTGATACTAACAAACCATGCAATCTGTGCTCCAATTTCATTCATAGTCAAAAGTAGTACAAGAACTTGTGTTGATCCTCCCATCGAATGGCTCATTATTAGTCACGGTTTATTCTGGCTTATTGTCATTTACTTCCACTTTTAAATTTAGTTACCATTTTTTAGTTTATTTTTTATCAGTGACAGAATTACCTTTTATATATTACCCATGGGTCTCTGATTTTAATGTGATTTATATCTCTAAAGGAGACAACCACATTATCTGTAAAATTCTCATCTCTGCAGTTAAAATAATATTTTGTTTCCTATTTCCCTATTTCAAATTTTACTCCTTTTGACTCCCCTAGCACATGTTGAATACTAAAAAACACTTATTAAACAGTAAATACTTTGAAATTAAAAAATTTATTTTTCTTTGGTGTTGGTTGGGTTTTTTTGTTTCCTTCTTGACTTCCTTTCTTTACTCAAGCCCCAGTTTGAAATCTTTACTCTATGATGTAGAATATTGTGCTTTCTATCCATCCTTATTTGCATTCTAAGCCCAGTAAGAGATTTGTTGCTTCAATGTGGGATCAATTCTTTGATGTCAGAAAGAAAAAATAGTCAACCTGTTCCTGCCTTTGGCTGTTACTCATGTATATGTGATTCCTGATATACCTCATACTAAGATGTTTAAGAGGAAAAGCCTTCTTCTGTATTTTTTTAATTGCAAAAGATACTGCATACGTGTAGGCTTATATGATGAAAGAGCTGGTTCTGTTTGGGTTTTTTTCCTCCCCTTGAATAAATATAACAATTTTGGGGGAGTTTTTTGGGCTTTCTGTGCTACATCCAGTGTTGGCTCGTTCCTTTTTTTCTTTCCACTAATTCAGTCACCCAGCCAGCCAGTGCTGCAATTTTCCTGTCAACCAATCATTGACCACCTTCTAGTTCAGCTGTTCCTCATAGCTATATAGGCTTTTCAGACACAGTGTTGAAGTCTTTATTTTCTTCTGGAAACTCTAATTAGTACTCAGGACTGTGATGAATAGGCTATAGAAGATAGTAAGTGCCTGGGCTAAAGATTTATGCAACAGCACGTGGTTACAACTTCAGTAAACAACTGAATGATTGAGGATACCACATGCATAAAACCTGATCTACTGCTGAGAAGAAATGAATTGTGTGTGGGGGAAAAAGCTAAAAGCATAATTACGAAATTGGAGAATGATGTGTCACATTGATTGCTATAGTGTGCTAATGTTTGCTCCATTTGATATCCCAGGTATTAAAAGCAGTAGTTAAATGTGTCCTTGCCTCGGCTAACAGAAAGCTGCACAGAAGATTTTTTTTTAAAAAAAATTGAAGGTTTACTGCATTTCTGGAGGTCGTTTTTATTAGTCTATCATGCCTTTTTATGTATTATTCTGTTCCCTTTCAAGTGTGTTTTGAAAAAGTTACTTGCTTGCAAGCTGAGAAATGAAGGATATTTAATAGCATTCAAATAAGACATTCCCCTCTGTGTTTTAAATTCTGCTTTGGAAGAGGCACATAAAGTACTTTCAGAAACAAACAATTTTTATGTAACTTAGTTTTGTAAAATTAAAGTTCACAATATTCTGAAAACATATTGTTCCTGAGAGAGAAACATTTCACCACTGCTCTTAGAGTAGTAATTCACAGTGACAAATGCAGCCAGTATATTTTGTTTGCTTAAAACTGTACATTTTGGGAAAGAAATGCACAAAACACATTTTAAGTGCCTTGAGGTGTCTGTTGTACACAGGAGACTCAGCAACTAGAATACATCTCTGAAGAATAATCAGAATCTTTTGTCTTTGATAGTTCTTCTCCAGAGTGGACCTTATAAACAATGTACATCTACCTTTTGTTGAGCTTTTAAAGTACTTAGAAAACAAAGACATAAGATTGCATATTCAGAACTGATTGGAATGTATGATTTTGGATGTAAAGATTTCAGATGCACATTCTTAGATACTCGAGTTCCTAGAGGATCTGATTTCCAGAAAATAAGCGACCTTAATATGATCTGTAACTAAGCATACCAAAATGAAGGTGCCCAAGACATGAAAATGGAAGGGTAAAACTTCAAAACACAACCCATGTCCTCAATTTCCAACTCCATCTTCCTCTCTGTGCTCATACCTTACTTATCATCTGGTGAAATTCCTTTGGTGACGTCATGCTCAGGGAACAAGTCTCACTTAGAAAAGGATTTTCTTTATTTTTCATAATTTAGCTGAACCAACACAAAACTGAATACTGTAAAGCAACAAAAATGATGTAACATCTTTCATTTTTCTGTGTTTACTAAATAAGGCTACTATGCTCTCTTTAAAATAAATCAAAACAGAGAGTTGGTAAAGTGAAGGATCTGGCTCTTGAGGTCTACATGTACAGTAAATGTATTTACCATCATTTATTGCATGACATTTTAAACCTGACATCGGTCATTTATAGTGCAGTCAGTCCATTACACTTTACAAGTGGCTGGGCTTTAATTGCTACTTTGATACTGGTCAAAATCCTATGATTAAATAAGAATTTTGTATTTATTTATTTTACTTGAAGACAAAATGTATATAGGTCATGTTTCCTGCAACCTCTGCATTAAATAAGCCTCAGTGTTTGAGCAGGCTTTAAAAAAAATTCTTTTACCAACTTTTCATTTTTGTACCTCTCATCTATGGTCACTTGAATAATCTCTATATATTTTTCTTTAGTAGAATAGAACTAGCATAACACTAAAAGTTAATTTGAGTATTAGGTAGTATACTTGAAACCGTAACACATTTGCTAGGAAGAAATTAAGCTCCCTTGTTGATTGCATCATACCAATATGTACCAAACCTGTATGCCAAACGGTACAGTAAAAGGGAACAAGGCTTTGTTTTTCTGTTTTGTCATAATTTCTCCCTCGTCTATGCTGTCTTTGCTAAATTTTCACTAACCAATAATGCCGAAAAAGTGGACTTTCTAACAATGAGGTAAAAACACTGAAAATGGGATCAAAGAACAGGCTTCAAACTGACCCTTACATAAAAGTAGGGGGAGAGAAAGAGAAAGAAAGAAAGAAAAACAAACCTTGCTATGAAGAGCAATGAGTAAAATATTTTACACTCTATTTTTATCAGTACATAAAGACAAGAAATAAAAATAAAATAAAAATAAAAAATGCCTTCCAACAGTGCAATGGTTGAATGCATTTATGTAATATAAACAACATTATTCTTTGCTTTTTCTACACAGTCCTCTCTGGTCATGCTTTACATCCAGAATGTCCCCATGGAAGAAAGCAAACGACACCAGTCACTTCAGAGACAACTGAAGTAATAAAACACAACTTAACTCTGAACCACTTGTCATGACTGTCAGAGTTATCACGTTAATTGTTAAATAGGATTTTCTACAAATATACAACATATAAAAACTGTTAAATATATAACTTTAGGCTTTTCAAAATACATTTAATGATCTCTTTCAAACAAATGTTACTTTTGTTTTCTCTTTAATTTGCTCTCTGGTGCTAAATGGTGTATCAGATGAGACATAGGCCACAGATGACCAAACATGCTCTTTGCAAATACTGTATTATCCAACTTTAACTATCAAAAATGGAACTGTAGAAGAGGCATGTTTAACTGGTTAAAACTGAAAATGATTTTAGTACGAGAAAGTCAATCTAAGTACAGAGGAATAAAGGTGCCGTGTAGACAGTTTGTGTTCTTTTCGTCCAAGTTTTTCAAACTTAGGTAATTTTCTCTTAGTGCTCCATTATGTTCTCTCAAACGTGGCATTTCAAGAGCAGGTCTCTAGTTAGTTTTTACTGCAGCTTTCCATAAAGACTTCTGCTGACAACAACATTTCATCTTTGTGAAAGCTGGAATCGTGTTTGTGGAGACCTCCTTCAATTTAATGACAGAATTCTGTTAAGAGTAAGATAGTGTCCACTTTAAAATAGATTTTGCTCTTTGGTCTATTGTATATACTGAAAGTATAAGAAAATAAAAGCAATTCAGACAGTTTAGGGCACAAGAAGAGTTTCTCTTTTGCACCTCAGTGTCCTCCCATAGGCAAAACAGTCTTCTCTAAGGCTGATTGGGATGATACTCTTCATTGTAGCAGACTCTTCGGATTGAAACATGTAGATAACAGCAAGTCCAGCAGTGGTGTATAACGCAGATGAAACGTTAACCATGAACTTGTTTGTATTGCTAATGCCCAAGCATATCTCTTTTTCTATATTCCTTAGTCCAGTGATCCTTAGAATGGCAGAACAAACTTTAGCTCATAATGTAGAGGAATTATGCTGTCATTCATGAGATACAGAGAAACAGACAGTTGAGTTGATGACATATAACGGATGATGATCAACAGCAGTGAAACTTGACTAAGTTAAGTAGCTCACAGAGAGCCTAAACCACTCCTACGAGGATTCTGTGTTGCTGCATTTGTCAGGAGACCTGTAAATCAATAAGAACAAATGTGTGAGTGTCTTAATTTATAATTCTGGTTATCTTTGATGTACATTATTTTAAAATACACTGTACTGAGATTTTTCAAGGAGACAGTTAATGAATTCAAAGATATTTATTTTTCACAGCATTATCCCAGAGAAAAAAACATGAACAAACCTATATTTTTATGATTAAAAACTGTACTTTAATAATAATTTATCATAAAGCTCTGAATAGAAATTATAATTTAAAGTAACTTCAATGCCATCTATTTTCTACTAAGCTCTATGCACATTCTTTTTCATAAAAGTCATAGAATGTTCTTTTACACACATTAAAGTTACAAATAACAATGTTTAATAGACATGGCAATTAAAGAAAAAAGATTACTTTTACTTTTTACGTATAGATTGTGATGAAAAATGGACATAAAAGCCATGACCAGATCTTAAAAATGCAACGATGTTTTACACTGGAGGCTTTTCTGCAGTTAAGTTTTCAAAGAGCACTAAGAGTGCTCCTAATTTAATCAATACTGCCCTCTAGCGATGCTATTACAAGTGAAAATTAATGTAAATAATGTCCATTAATAGTCAATTTAATCAGAAAATTGGTTTAGTTACACAGAAGAAAAAAATCATAAGAGAATGGAAATGGGCAAAGGACTGCCCAATGAACCTGTTGAAAAGACAATGGAATGGAAGCAGTGTTCTGAAAGAGAAACAAAACCAAAGTTCCCACTATTAAGGAAATTGAGTACTGGAAGACAGCACAAACACAAACGAGAAAATAATGACTGATTTATACAACAAGGAGCCAGCTACACATGCTCGCCCAAAGTATCAATTTAGAAATGGTTTAAAAATTACACCGATGCTGTAAAAGACAAAATGTTTTGGGGTGTATTAAGCAAGCATGATTATTACAAAATGCCATTTGAATTTTGAAATACAAGATCTTCTGCTTTGGCATTGTTCTGTCTCCAAACAGTCAGAACTGTTATTACTGATGGAAATACCATGCAAAACTCCAGAAAATACTGAACAGTGAATGTGAAAGAGCAAAACAAATAAGAAAATCCAATTCAATTGGTTCAAGCCACATATAAAAATTTGTGGATTTAGCCTAACCCTCAGAGCAGCAAATGAAAGAAAAACCTGCCTCCAAATCAACTTAGTGACAGCTTGAAACATATGGATCTCTATATATATGCATGTAGAAAGAGAGAGACAGAGAGAGACAGGCAGATAGAGGGATGAATACTTTCCTTAAAAGGCATAAAAGTGTATGTCATAGAGTTCTGCTTTTGTCCTCTCACCTTTTCCAGGAAAAAACACCCCAGAAATCTTGCAAACAGCCTTTTCTTTTCGGACTAGTGATCAGATCTCCAAACCACATGGCCTCAGACAGGCTGAAGGCAAAAAACCTCATTGATTATTGTGATATATTCCCCTTCTTAAATATACTTTCATCAAGAGAAATTAAAGTTTTGCTTCTATTAATTGTTCTGTTTCCACTTTATACCCCTCCTTGGGATTTTTGCTATGCCCCCTACTTTTCTTCCCATTAGAAAAGATCACAACTTTTAAGGTAGCGATACCTTTTAGGCTGCAAGACACAAAGCAAATGATTTATGGTTTATTAGGTCTGAAAGTAAACTACTATTGTGTTAAGAATTAGCCTGACATAGCTCCATCTTTCCTTTATTACAGGCTTCAATGGCCCACAGCTAAAAGCAACAGCGTAAAGTGCTGATGGACTGTATGTTCAGTGTTTTCATAGTGTGCTTCTCTGCCATACTGGTCCCAGGATGAAGAGAGAATTCAGATACAACATGCATTCACAGATAGCTGCTGCTTTGTCATTTTATGGGTATAAAAGCTTCCTTCCTGACTTGCTATCCCTGTCTCCACTTTGAACACCCCTGCTGCGTGAATATGGTATCAACGCTTTTAAAGAAGAAGAGTAGAGGGGAGAAAATTATGCATCTTAAAAATGCTGGGGAAGGGCAGAGAGCAGGCTTGAAATAAAGTGATGACAGGAAGAGGAACAGATTAGAGAACAGGAGGTGAATTTACAACTTTGGACAGTGACAGTAGAAAATTAAATGAACAGGGAAAAAACGTGTAGGTTAGCCAGGGAAGTTTAAACATCTTATTAATGAAGGCATGAAAAAGAAGTAAGATAGACAGTAGGAACAACAGATAAAAAGAAGAGAGAAGATAAGGGAGAGCATGATGACTTCAGAGAAGAGGAAGAGAATGCACACCTACCCTCCCACCTCCTGCTTTTTTCCCTTTCATTCCTCAATACAGGTAAATTAATCACTCCCCAGAAAAAGAGATAGATCAAATAAGAGAAAAGAAGGACTCCTAAAAAAAATGAAAAGGACTTGTTTACTATTTATAGTAGTAGTTCAAACCATTGAATAGAATCATAGAGCCATTTAAGTTGGAAAATACTTTCAAGACCATTTAATCCAATCCAGCACTGCCATGTCCACCACTAAACCATGTTCCTAAGGACTACATCTATACGTCTTTTAAATATTTCCAGGGATGGCGACTCAATCACTTCCATTGACAGCCTCTTCCAAGGCTTGACAACCTTTTTGGTTGTAGGTACCAATGCACAAGTCTGTTTGTCACTGAGTTCAGTGCAGTCAGTATTTCTTCCCAGTGCTTCAGACAGCAGGTTCTGCTTCCTTTGCAAGGAGCCAGATTTTCTGGCTGTGAGCTTCTTCAACTTTGAGATACTGAGTGGGCATCTAGTACCAAAAATTAAAATACTACTGTTTGTTATCTGACTGTTTACATGAAGGAAGTCCAAGCTCCTGTGTGTTCCACAGAAATCTGCTCAAGAGGAAAACAATTTTTCCTGCTAAAAATCCAAAGCATAAGAAACAAGACAGTTCACATGACAATATTTATCTTAGTATTGTTCTTGGATGGCTTGAATATGTCCTGAGAGTGTTTGGCTTATTAGAGCAAATATAACACAGTACACTTAATTTGTCTTGCTCTAGAGGGAGTAGAATAAGGGTCAGTCCATCTCCAAGTTTGCCCTAATGGCACATAAAATAGTTCATTGGTTCATTCTTATGATCAAAGACAAAGGAAAAAAAGTTATGTTAGTCACCTTGAGAAGATAAAAATACATGATGCTTTGCTGACTTATACAGGCTTTCCACCAAAAGACACCAACCCATAAACCTCTGTCTTTCTTTCAGTGTAGTATCTAGGATTGAATTTAATGATAAAATGTTTGAATTTCTCATCACAAACCAGAAAATTGAGCCAGGTTTACTGCAGGTGGAAAATATTTTCAGATTTAGGATTGAGTTTCAAGTATGTCTGGCCTGACCTTTTACTTTAAATGGAATCCACATAAATACCAGCAATTCCATGTCAAATCTTTTAAAGCTTTAGCAGTTTCATCTGGTTTTCACTCTGTGTTTTCAGAATAAAAATGAAAGTCAGAGTGCACCAAAGTTGTTATTTTTGCTACAGTAACCAAGTGCACTTACATGACTACCTGTTGTGGTCAGATTGGTGCTCTGCAATGACAACTCTATCCAGCACCAATTTCTGGAAATTTTCTGGATACTTACAAAGTATTTGATCATCATAAAGATGTTTCAATGTTGTCTAAAAGCTGAACTACTTGTCTAAACTGTGTATTTTAGACTTTCAACTACAGTCTTGAAAATGCTTCTGTGAGTCTTAGGATTTTGTATTGCATCCATCAGTGCAAATGGCTTTCCTTTTGGCTTGGGTTCTTTTTGCACAAAGATAATTCACAGAGATGGATGCAGATTGGGCCAGTCTCTGTCTCACACATCCACTCATAATGGAAACAGTTCTAAACCTTTTACCAACTGATTGCAAGTCAGATAAAGAGCATGTCTTTCCTCTCTGCATCTGAGGCTCTCTGTTCTAGGTCCTTAAACAGCTAAGCATGTATGATGCAGAAAGAGAGGTGTAAAAGTATTAAAATGCCCAAGGAAAACCTTACGCTCCCTTGCAAGATACCTTATGTTTTATGGAACAAAATTGTGAATTTCTGGTGGTGATCCAATCAGTAGCAATGACCTGTTGCATTCATGAGAACTCCCATAGTCTCTCCTGAAAATTTATTCTGTTTTCCTCCCTTCTTCTCCCTTTCTCCATGCTGTTCATATATGAAAATTGAATTGCTTAGTCTTCAGAAAAAAAAGGACAAGTTAATCTAACTGCAAAGTGTCTGCAGCTATTCAGAATAAGAAGCATGGAAGCTACTCTACTCAGTGCTGTATTCTGTCTCACTGAGCTAGCCATGGGAAGCACAATTTCAGAGTTCAAAATGTAGTACCTCAAGAACTAGGAATAATAAGATTGGACAAATTTAGTGTATATGCTTGTGTGTGAAGTTTAATGTACTAGATAGTGTATATACAGGTATATTTTCCTGTGCTGCACTCCAACAAAGTAGCATTCATGAGTTACAGAGAGCAGAATTTCATTATTACTCAGCTTCTAGGAGAACCTGTCTTTTCTTTTTACACCCACTGTTTGTTTCTTTTCGCTTCCACTATTCAAGCCAGACATAGAAAGAAGTGTTTATTCTAACTCTGAGACTCTTTGCAAAAGATATTTTTCTCCCAATAATAATTATTTTAATATCAATCTGTCTAGAACAAAACACAGTGTCATTTCTCCTTAAATAACATTCCTAGTCCTATCTTTTCAACTTCCCCTCACCATCTGCCAAGACTATCATCCTGATCATTAATTTCCTTTTCTGTTAAAATCCTCTTTGTCACCTATTACATTTTTTGAACTTACAAGTTCTTGGAATATGCTGGGTCAGAACATACACTCCTTCCTTCTTCTGAATTGCCCATTACTTCATAAGCAATACTAGCACAGGAAGTGGAACTGTTCTTATGATTAGAAAATCTTTACAATGAATGGAAATGTTAAAACCACATCTGAAATGTGGTTTCTAACCCAGCTGAAATACATTTG